GTGTGTGTGTGTGTGTGTGTGTGTGTTTCGGTCTCTGAAAGGTTTGACCCCAGAGTCTCTGGTGCTACTGCGGTAAATTGGAGAGTAAGCTCATGGTCTGATCTCATGGGGAATGCTGTTCTGTGTGAGCTGATGAGCGGTTCGCTGGTCTGATTAAAGGCTCCCACCGCTCTGATGTCTGTCACGTGTCAGCTAGACAGCCATCAGTCTGGACGCAGACATAAACATGTTGACCTTATTTCAGCTATTGTGTCATGCATTCAGCAAGCCATTTAAGACAAGAGTGAAAAACAGCAGTGCATGTGGGTGGCGGCGTTTTGTGTGAGACTGAAACTAACTTGAATAGCATTTTTATTGAATTTAAACTGTCTGTTTTGAATGCTTGTTTTAATACATTTTCTGGTAAAAATGGGGAGACAATTACTGATCCAAAGAAATGCTTCAGTGGGAATTTCTTGTAACAGAATAAACATTAAGTAGGGTACACATTTCATTTTTATTCACATTTATTTTTATATGATTTAATTATTTAAAAGTGCAGTCAGTAAAAGATTGGACTGCCCAAAAATGAAAATCCTATTTTACCCTGTAGCTCTCAGATCTCATTCACACTTGTGAATATTCAAAATTGTCATGTTGAGTTTGGTTAAAAGACACATGAGAACCAATGTTGTACATCTTCCTTTAAAAACTGTATGGGATTCTTGAATTTCCATTCCATGTCAACTCAACCAGAGGTTCCTGGCTAAATACATAAATGAAGAATTATGTAAATGAAGAAGAAAGCAATGGATGAACTGACCACTTAAAATGTGTACAGTTGAACAATTTACTCATGTAGCTACATTGAGATCCCAATATCTCTTGAACTGAACCATTTGGGCCTTTAAAAATGAAGATACCCAAGAAATGATTGTTAAGAACCAAAATTTGAAAGGATATCAAGATAGCTTTAATACTTCTGAAGTTACAGGCATGCAAACTTTGGAAATCAAACTTCAAGTTAGATAAAATAGTGTATTACTCAGTAAATATTCTTCCACGACTTTTAATATTTTGGCTTTCATTACACTTAATGTTTGGCTTTCTTCAGAAAAAAATATTAACAAAATTTTAGCTTGGGAAGTTTTTGAAATTTGGTTGATCTGACACAGAATGAGCTGAGTAAATTGCCCTTTAAGCTGCACTGTACAATTTGCTCTACAAACCAGTGTGTTTATGATTACCAGAACCAAATACCAGTTTGCAACATCAAGCAGCATAACATAATGTTTTTGCACAGTTGCAAAACTGGAACACCGAAAGCCTTGCACATTCAAGGTAAAATGGCGAGGCCTGCTCTTATTTTTAAACTGAGTTGAATAGGTTCTTCAGGTCAGTGTATTAGTTTCTTGGTTGTTTAAAGCACCAGTATATAGAAGGTTTACAAAAGAACTGGAGACATTCTTTGTGGAACTCATAAAGGTTCTGTAAAACCCCATTTGAAACTTTTTAAAGAGTGATTCTTAGTTACCCAACTTTATCTCTCTTATGCTCTGGGCCATAGTGCTGCTGATAGTTTTTGATTGTTTGTGACTCTTTGGATCAGATGACACTTTAAGCTCAGAATACAAAAGAACCGATCACACAATGAAGCCACGGACAGAGATGTTGCATATCTGATACATTTCCCCTCCATCTGTACACTGGATACTACATGGGAATACATGTGATAGACACAGGACACAACTTGTGCCAAAACATGTTATTTTAGTCTTTGAAAAAAAAAAAAAAGTTATACTAGTAGTGTCCAAACTTTTGTAAAGTCTAACATCCTGTGTGTTAAATTAAATAATAAATTGAATAATGCCATGCACAAAATCTCTCTCTCACTGACTTCAAAGAAAGACAATCATGCATGTCAATATAAATGGAATGTGAATATTTCTCTGATGTCTTTATATCCGCTGTGTTTCATATTATGTACCTACCTTATAAGAGTATGACATCATCATGCAGTCATGGGGTCAGGCTCAGCTACAGGTAGGCGTGTTTTCTGAGGTCAGGTGGTCAGTTGGAGGGTTAATCAGTAGGTGAGATGTACTGGTTGAGGCAGAGAGCTATGAGGGAGCCTGTCCCTCAGTAATGACTGGGGCTGCTTCCCTTCCTGATTACAGGCTTACTGCGAGTCTCAATGTAGCCGCCCAACTATTAGCTGCCCCTTTACAATGTATTAGAGTGAAATATCACAGCCAGCTGACCTCACACAGCCCTCGGGCTGAATGATAAATGCACTGTTTGCTTTTAATAGTTTTTGTCACTATGTAAAGAAAATGATGGAGAACTTGTGAGGGGTATTCTTGAAGTTTGGTTGGAATTTTTTTTTTTTTCAGGCAGCTTGATATTTTATTTTATTTTATTTCATGTCATGTCATGTCCAACCTGTAAAATAAGAACACAGTGATGTTAATTTTTAGATTGTGGATGTCACAGTTGTAGGGTGTTCCGCTCCAGAGGGCAGAAGATGTTCACATGCAAACAGTACCTGTCATTTCTCACATGCACTGATTAGTTATTCACCGGCCCAAATATGCCAGGATTCTTCCTCACACTGATAATGAAACAAAAACAGAAATGTAAGATCTGCTACTTCCATAGAAAAGAAGAAATGAGCTTCATTACTGCTGCTTTTGATATAATCTCGTAAGTTTTTAGTTTCCTGTCAGGAATTATTTAGGGTTTAACTGCTGTGACTTTGTTATCACTGTGACACTATTTGACATATGTTTACACGGCAGAGTTGTATCCATTAATGACACTATGGACACGGTCCGTGTCACTAGTTAAAATTGCTTATTTCTCTGGATTTAAACATTCTTCGAAACATTTGGGATAATCCAAGTACACACGTCAGCAAAATATATAACACTGTTCTAGTGGTTTTTGGATATTTTAATAAAAAAATCGTACATATTGCGCCTTTAAGTTATGATTTTGCTCAGTTTAAATGCATATCTATTTTATCTCTTGGTGGATAAACGGACACGTGAATCACAGATACTTGCTGTTGCTAGCAGCTACTGTACATGATTACATCACTGTCAGGTAATTGTAATGTTAAGTTATGAAACAACATCTGAATTATGTATGAATAAATTGAAAGCTTGAATCCTTAAAATGCACAGTAAACATTATTAAATTCTAAGACTTAAATTAAGACTGATTTATCAGCTGATGATTATATTTAAAAAAAAATGGATTTAACAAATATATACAATTTTTTTGTCAATGTCTCTTTTTATAATATTTTTAAAAATTGTAATGCAGGCTTGCCAAAGATGACATATGTGTACAGTATGTGAACAGTACAAAAAAGTACACACTATCTATCTGTCTGTCTATATATATATGTATATATACAGTATATATATATATATGGTGTGTGTGTGTGTGTGTGTGTATGTGTGTTTAATATATGTATATGTACATATATTAACATTAAATTGACAAATGCTGTAAAAACAATTGTAAATGTACAGTTGTAGTATAGTATATAGTTGTTAGTTTGTGAGTTTCAAAATATTGCTTCAGGCAAAATTACACATCTCCACTTTCATTCACATACTGTGGTCTAGAGTGATACAAACATTGAAGTCCCAGTGCTGTATATTGGACTGTATATCAGCATTTTGGACCACTAATCGGCCAATCATATCCAAGGACTGGAAATTAGTATTGTGCAACATTTGTAATGTTAAGTTATGAAACAACATCTGAATTATGTATGAATAAATTGAAAGCTTGAATCCTTAAAATGCACAGTGAACATTATTAAATTCTAAGACTTAAATTAAGACTGATTTATCAGCTGATGATTATATTTAAAAAAAAATGGATTTAACAAATATCTAAAAAAAATTTGTCAATGTCTCTTTTCATAATATTTTTAAAAATTGTAATGCAGGCTTGCCAAAGATGACATATGTGTACAGTATGTGAACAGTACAAAAAAGTACACACTATCTATCTGTCTGTCTATCTGTCTGTCTATATATATATGTATATATACAGTATATATATATGGTGTGTGTGTGTGTGTATGTGTATTTAATATATGTATATGTACATATATTAACATTAAATTGACAAATGCTATAAAAACAATTGTAAATGTACAGTTGTAGTATAGTATATAGTTGTTAGTTTGTGACTTTCAAAATATTGCTTCAGGCAAAATTACACATCTCCACTTTCATTCACATACTGTGGTCTAGAGTGATACAAACATTGAAGTCCCAGTGCTGTATATTGGACTGTATATTAGCATTTTGGACCACTAATCGGCCAATCATATCCAAGGACTGGAAATTAGTATTGTGCAACCAATTTGAGTTGAATTATTGAAATAAATGAACTTTTCCACGACATTCTAATTTATTGAGATGCACCTGTACTTAATATTTCTGTGGAAATCATGCTACATTTTTGTCAGGATTCTTTGATGAATAGAAATTTCAAAAGAAAAGCATTTATAATGTGTATTATTATATATATATATTATTACTCTACAGTCTCTTTCTTCTCACATAATGCAGTCATTTCAGCTTAAATCAATATTTTATGTCTATTTATTTATTAAATTGGTATTTTATTGCTGCTGAATGTACATAATCCCATAAAGCAAACAGTATAAAAAAAACTATTCTTTTACAGATCTGTTACCACTGGACCTCCTGTCCCGGGTACTTCCTGTGTCCGGCAGGGCTCGGGATGGGATACGTATGGTCCAGTCCAGAGGTGCTCGTGGATTTCAGTTTTCTGGATCTCCACAGCTGTTCAGCTTCCCTGCATCTCAGCTCTTTATTAATTGTAACTTCTTTCCCGCTGAGTTCTCCATCGTTGTCACACTGAAAATCCCACAAATGGCTCCTGAGGTGAGAACAAAAAAAAAGATAAAGATATTGTTGAGGTTTAGTTTGAAAACATCAAAGAATCTTCCGAAGCCTTTCCCTCAGAATATGCTTTAGATATCTGAATAGCGATAGTGATCAGTCTTCACTCTTTGATGTGCAGAAGAGTGAATACATCTTCACACTGTTGGAGGGAGATTCAGATGAGCCGCTCCTCGGCCTGCGTCTGTCCCAAAACAAGTTCCACTTCTTGCAGAAGGGTCACGGTAGCAGGAAACGCATCACTTTTAAGGCAGTAGGGCTGGATGATAACCGCTGGCACACTGTGGTCTTGGCAGTGACAGGATGCTACACAATTCTCACTGTGGACTGTGGCACACCTCTAGAGCTGTAAGACTCTCTTTGGGAATGCTGTAGATGTCAGGTTATAATGATATATGAGTCAAAATGGAAGATCATTTTTACATTTATGTATTGAACTATATAATTTTGTTGCATAAACTTATAAAATGTCCTGTTTTGTCTCAAACAGGGAGCTTGAAATACCTTTCCCAGATAATCTTGATACAACTGGTTCCACATTCTTCATTGCTAGCAGAAGAAGATGGAACGGTCTATTTTCTGTACAAATCTCATTTCAAGGCTTTTATCATTTTAATAAGATTCACAATGCACTTGAAATCTAAATGTATTCGTTCATTCCACTGTTTTTTGCAGGGTCTGATACGGCAGCTAGTTTTGTTACCTGGTTCAGATGCTACCTCACAAATTTGTCCCTCATCTGAGCCCCGGCTGTCTGCTCTCTCAGTTCCTCAGGCCCTTTTACACCTGCCAATCAAACCATCATCCACTGACCTTCCCCTCCACCCTTATGGTGAGACTACTAAACCGTCAACACTAGAATCATAGCCTACATGTCAATATGCATACAAATCACTAAAGGTATATACTCCGCTGGCACATATTTGGAGTATGTAGAAAGAAGAGACACACTATCACCTTGACACCACAATATCTGTAAGAATCTAAATGTAAGCTAATCTTCAAAAGGTGCAGGTGTTATAGATTGGTTTCTGTGTAGGTAATGCCCACTAAGGATATCTTTTAGTCTGCAGGAGTCTGTCCTATAGGAATGCTGTGTGTTTTAGCTGTAAACACAGGACTGTGATTGTATGGGGATGTGAGTAACCCTATCTCACAGGTCTGTTACTGATCTGCTGACATTGACTGACAGCCTTGTGCTTTGAGTGTCTCTGTGGCTCAGAAGAAGTGCTGGTGTTTGAAAGCAGGGTGTAGTTGTGCAGGGCTCACTGCTATGCTTTATACTGTGGACCTGTTGAGAGACATGACACAGGGCAGAGAGAAGCCATGTTTGATTTATTCCCCCTTTTATAATGTAGGCAGATTGAGGCTGCAATATGCAATATCTATCTAGGTAAGGTATCATTGCAGATTTGTTTGATATTTTCAAATACCTTTACATACAGTTTTATGTGGGACTTACTATTTCTACAATCGCTTGAACACATTTCTCAATACTTAAGTAATTTTTTAAAACTCTTCACACAGATCTCACCTACCAAAAAACTTCATACATGTCTCATATCAATTCATTTTTCCATAAAAAGCTTGTCACCCAACACACACACTTTTTCATTCATAAAACAATGACCTGACAAACACAATAGGTAGCATTACACAGTGTTTACTTCTGTAAAATCTGTTTGCAAAACAAGAATGACACTCTATACTGTTAGAACTGAAAGGATTGTTCTTCTAAAAACTACATTAAACTGCACTAAATAATGAAATTATGCATTCTACCATTCATCTATGGAAGCTGTTAATATACTGTTCATCAATACTGATGACATGATTTCTAAAACTGAACATCTCTTTTAATTTTACACAGAGGCAGAGGTTCGGGTGACTGCGGGTATGAGTCCTCCCTGTGGACACTCAGAGGAGGGACACCTGTGGTTTAACACACTGAAGAGAGGACTGTTTCTCTGTGATGGTATTGTATGGCTCACTATGCTGCAAGGTAATTTGGTAACAGTAATTTGCAACTGCAGTTTGTATGAGTACACTGATATGGTATCTAACTATCACATTGCATCTCTGCAGTGAAAGAGAAGCTGGACTACGTGGAGGATCACCAGGATTTATTTACCAACTCTGAGACATTTGACATTGAGGTTTTCCACATCCCTTCCGTAGGACTTTTCATGGCAACCGCCAACCGTGATTCCAACCTCGGTTCAGGAATTTACAAATGGACAGATGGGAGGTTTGAACGATATCAAAACATCAGCACCTACGATGCACAAGCATGGCAATACTTCACAGTGGGCAAAAAGGTGTGTGTGGACTACCAACAGAATGTGATATTGCTTTTATACAGTAAACGAATAGCCAATACTGAGTAACTTACATTTTAGTAAGCGTATTGTTGGTTAATTTGTCTATTTTTGCTCTGACAACAAAATAGATTCAAACAAAGTTACATCTTAGTATGCCAAAAGCACCAAAAGTTGGTTAAATGACCATGGTGTTGGTGTGCTTGACTGGCCAGCAAACTCACCAGAGCTGAAGGCCACTGTCAAAGAAACCTGGGCTTCCATACCACCTCAGCAGTGCCACAAACTGATCACCTCCATGCCACGCCGAATTGAGGCAGTAATTAAAGCAAAAGTAGCCCCTACCAAGTATTGAGTACATGTACAGTAAATGAACATACTTTCCAGAAGGCCAACAATTCACTAAAAATGTTTTTTTATTGGTCTTATGAAGTATTCTAATTTGTTGAGATGTGAGCCAAAACATCACAATTAAAAGAACCAAAGACTTAAACTACTTCAGTCTGTGTGCATTGAATTTATTTAATACACAAGTTTCACAATTTGAGTTGAATTATTGAAATAAATGAACTTTTCCACGACATTCTAATTTATTGAGATGCACCTGTACTTAATATTTCTGTGGAAATCATGCTACATTTTTGTCAGGATTCTTTGATGAATAGAAATTTCAAAAGAAAAGCATTTATAATGTGTATTATTATATATATATATTATTACTCTACAGTCTCTTTCTTCTCACATAATGCAGTCATTTCAGCTTAAATCAATATTTTATGTCTATTTATTTATTAAATTGGTATTTTATTGCTGCTGAATGTACATAATCCCATAAAGCAAACAGTATAAAAAAAACTATTCTTTTTATATATATATATTATTACTCTACAGTCTCTTTCTTCTCACATAATGCAGTCATTTCAGCTTAAATCAATATTTTATGTCTATTTATTTATTAAATTGGTATTTTATTGCTGCTGAATGTACATAATCCCATAAAGCAAACAGTATAAAAAAAACTATTCTTTTACAGATCTGTTACCACTGGACCTCCTGTCCCGGGTACTTCCTGTGTCCGGCAGGGCTCGGGATGGGATACGTATGGTCCAGTCCAGAGGTGCTCGTGGATTTCAGTTTTCTGGATCTCCACAGCTGTTCAGCTTCCCTGCATCTCAGCTCTTTATTAATTGTAACTTCTTTCCCGCTGAGTTCTCCATCGTTGTCACACTGAAAATCCCACAAATGGCTCCTGAGGTGAGAACAAAAAAAAAGATAAAGATATTGTTGAGGTTTAGTTTGAAAACATCAAAGAATCTTCCGAAGCCTTTCCCTCAGAATATGCTTTAGATATCTGAATAGCGATAGTGATCAGTCTTCACTCTTTGATGTGCAGAAGAGTGAATACATCTTCACACTGTTGGAGGGAGATTCAGATGAGCCGCTCCTCGGCCTGCGTCTGTCCCAAAACAAGTTCCACTTCTTGCAGAAGGGTCACGGTAGCAGGAAACGCATCACTTTTAAGGCAGTAGGGCTGGATGATAACCGCTGGCACACTGTGGTCTTGGCAGTGACAGGATGCTACACAATTCTCACTGTGGACTGTGGCACACCTCTAGAGCTGTAAGAAACTCTCTTTGGGAATACTGTAGATGTCAGGTTGTTTAATCTAAATGATATATGATCTAAAATGGCCGATAATTTTTATGTTTATGTATTGAACTATATCATTTTGTAGTATAAACGTATAAAATGTTCTGTTTTGTCTCAAACAGAGTGTTTGAAAGATCTTTCCCCGATGATCTTGATACAACTGGTTCCACATTCTTCATCGCTAGCAGAAGAAGATGGAATGGCCTATTTTCTGTACAAATCTCATTTCAAGGCTTTTATCATTATATTAAGATTTACAATGTACTTGGAATCTAAATGTATCAGTTTATTCCACTGTTTTCTGCAGGGTCTAATGCGGCAGCTAGTTTTATTACCTGGTTCAGATGCTACCTCACAAATTTGTCCCTCATCTGAGCCCCAGCTGTCCGCTCTCTCAGTTCCCCCGGCCCTCTTACACCTGCCAATCAAACCATCATCCACTGACCTTCCCCTCCACCCTTATGGTGAGACTACTAAACCGTCAACACTAGAATCATAGCCTACATGTCAATATGCATACAAATCACTAAAGGTATATACTCCGCTGGCACATATTTGGAGTATGTAGAAAGAAGAGACACACTATCACCTTGACACCACAATATCTGTAAGAATCTAAATGTAAGCTAATCTTCAAAAGGTGCAGGTGTTATAGATTGGTTTCTGTGTAGGTAATGCCCACTAAGGATATCTTTTAGTCTGCAGGAGTCTGTCCTATAGGAATGCTGTGTGTTTTAGCTGTAAACACAGGACTGTGATTGTATGGGGATGTGAGTAACCCTATCTCACAGGTCTGTTACTGATCTGCTGACATTGACTGACAGCCTTGTGCTTTGAGTGTCTCTGTGGCTCAGAAGAAGTGCTGGTGTTTGAAAGCAGGGTGTAGTTGTGCAGGGCTCACTGCTATGCTTTATACTGTGGACCTGTTGAGAGACATGACACAGGGCAGAGAGAAGCCATGTTTGATTTATTCCCCCTTTTATAATGTAGGCAGATTGAGGCTGCAATATGCAATATCTATCTAGGTAAGGTATCATTGCAGATTTGTTTGATATTTTCAAATACCTTTACATACAGTTTTATGTGGGACTTACTATTTCTACAATCGCTTGAACACATTTCTCAATACTTAAGTAATTTTTTAAAACTCTTCACACAGATCTCACCTACCAAAAAACTTCATACATGTCTCATATCAATTCATTTTTCCATAAAAAGCTTGTCACCCAACACACACACTTTTTCATTCATAAAACAATGACCTGACAAACACAACAGGTAGCATTACACAGTGTTTACTTCTGTAAAATCTGTTTGCAAAACAAGAATGACACTCTATACTGTTAGAACTGAAAGGATTGTTCTTCTAAAAACTACATTAAACTGCACTAAATAATGAAATTATGCATTCTACCATTCATCTATGGAAGCTGTTAATATACTGTTCATCAATACTGATGACATGATTTCTAAAACTGAACATCTCTTTTAATTTTACACAGAGGCAGAGGTTCGGGTGACTGCGGGTATGAGTCCTCCCTGTGGACACTCAGAGGAGGGACACCTGTGGTTTAACACACTGAAGAGAGGACTGTTTCTCTGTGATGGTATTGTATGGCTCACTATGCTGCAAGGTAATTTGGTAACAGTAATTTGCAACTGCAGTTTGTATGAGTACACTGATATGGTATCTAACTATCACATTGCATCTCTGCAGTGAAAGAGAAGCTGGACTACGTGGAGGATCACCAGGATTTATTTACCAACTCTGAGACATTTGACATTGAGGTTTTCCACATCCCTTCCGTAGGACTTTTCATGGCAACCGCCAACCGTGATTCCAACCTCGGTTCAGGAATTTACAAATGGACAGATGGGAGGTTTGAACGATATCAAAACATCAGCACCTACGATGCACAAGCATGGCAATACTTCACAGTGGGCAAAAAGGTGTGTGTGGACTACCAACAGAATGTGATATTGCTTTTATACAGTAAACGAATAGCCAATACTGAGTAACTTACATTTTAGTAAGCGTATTGTTGGTTAATTTGTCTATTTTTGCTCTGACAACAAAATAGATTCAAACAAAGTTACATCTTAGTAGAAGTTGGTTGGGTGAATGATTCAGTGACTTGCCCATAAAGCCAATCGCTTGTTTTGTTCCAGAATTAATCAGTTTGCTTGAACGAAGCAATTTGCTAAATGACATAAAGACTTTTTGCCATTTTTCATCACCTACTGGCATATCTGTGTAAAAAATCCACACCACTAATACAAAGACTAACAGTATATCTGAAACAAACATAGACAAGCGGAATGGTACAAATGGTAAAAACTCTTAGTGAGTGCTGTTGGACTGATATATCAGCACTCTTGGAACACTGCTAATCAAATCAAATTTGAGGACCAGAAACCTGTGATATTGATGGAGCTGCCAAGCAGAACAGCTGATGGGCCACTATCACAAGATGGTGCGGAGTACAGAACGTCTGTTTGCTCGTCCCCAGCTGTTCTTTACACATTGGAGTTGTTTTTGATGTGGTTTTCCAGTGGGAGAGGGGGTGGAAACCTGGCTCTCAAGTTTTAATGTTGTAAATCACATGTGCATAATAACAGAAATTAATTTTGTCTGATGCTGTATCCAAAATTTACTGCAGACACCTCCTGCTTCCCTTCACCGTAACTTACTGCATAATTACAGTCAAGAGTTGGAAAGCCTCTGTTAATACCTGCAGTACAATTATACATATGTTTTTCTTCTTGGAAATCTAAGATAAAATGATGATTCATGTTCAATTTAAAGTGAAATAGAGGGGCGAAGCCTTTGTAATTGCATCAGTGACCAGTTATTAAAAGATAAATCAATGCACCATTAAACTGAAGTTCAGAGCTAGTCAATTCATTAAAATATTTCCATCAGCACAGCTTTGAAATCCGTCTGGGATAATTAAAAGCCTCTGAAGATGCAGAAAACACCTAAAATTATGAAGTGCAAAACTCATTACAATATATTCTGTTTTTCATCACAGTACCCTTTAATTTAGTGAAGCTGCTGACATGATTTCTTACAATTATTTTCCTGTAACAGAAGTTCCTGGTTGTTGCTAACTGCAGAAGTAAGGATGCAGGGAACCAGGAGCAGTCTGTGATATATAAATGGAGCTCAAGGAAGCTGAAATTTATTCACTATCAGACTCTGATCACACACAGCGCTCGTGACTGGGAGGCTTTCAGCATTCAAGACGAAACTTTCCTCGCCGTGGCCAATCATAGGCAAGGTAATCTTTATCAGAACAGCTCATTGGATGTCTGTCATCTCATGTGCCGTTGTTGTCATTTTAAATTGTATAACTCAACAGGTTTTATCTGCTGAACAATAACAGGAGGAAGTTCATTTGTATGATTTCTAAAAAAAGATTCAACTTGAATTCCATACAAATCTCATACAAATCTATGGTCTTTGAGGCACACAGTCTGAACAAAAAGACCATCAAGAAAATCTTTTTAAGGCTAAAAGGTCTCCTTGTTTATGTGGTTCACTTTGATTCTGCTCTTGAAGTCTATTCGCTTATGAGAGCACACTGTGCTCATCCGTTCATGTGAAGTTCTTATGTGTGCCTCTGGCATTGATCAAAGCGGAAACACAGGCATAAAAGACACCTTTCATAGCACTTCATAATCATACAGGCCCCATCTAATACACCTGCATCTGCTGGAACCGAGCCATGTTAACCCATGCAGATTTCTCTGTTAAAATTTGGCTGAAGAACTGTTTCAAGGTTTCATATATGTTATTTTTTTGTCCACAGGGGGGAGAAACCATAATATTGACAGTGTAATCTACAAGTGGAACCCAGTTGCTCAGTTTTTTGAGGTCAATCAGACAATCCCGACCACTGGTGCTTATGATTGGGAGTTTTTCACCATCGGCCCATATTACTTCCTTGCAGTCGCTAACACTTTCAATGGAAGATCTACAGTCATTGATTCTACCATCTATATCTGGCTGGGAGGGATGTTTCAGCCTTATCAGTCTATTACAGTGAGTGAAATTATGTTATTTTATATTCTCTCACCATGATCATCATCACAATGGAAGCACCAAGGGCACATACACATCCCTTGTTCTCTGATCTGCAAATCAACTACAGTTCACCAGTTTGGGGTTTTTTGTGTTTTTAAGACAGTCTGTTATGCACACCATTTTTGATCAAACATGCAGTATACTTTACATTATAAATGTCTTTACAGTCACTTTTAATCAGTTTAATGTACCCTGTCTGAATAAAAGTATTAATGTCTTTCAAAAAAAACAAAAAACCTTTAGACCTTTGGGGCGATAGACTGGGAGATGTTCCAGATTGAAAACAGGGTCTTCCTGGCTGTGGCGAACAGCCAGATGCTCACGGAGGAGGGCAAGATTCTGTACTCTATCAACTCCACCATCTATGAGCTCAGCATGACATCTCAGACCTTCATCAAGTTTCAGGAGATTGAAACGAACAGGTGAATTGTGAACTGGTCTTCATTAGAAAAAGCCTTTACTTTTCAACTTTCATATTTTTATGTAAGGAACACTTTGTTGTCTGGGTCTTTTAGTGCTTTGGACTGGGAGTATTTTACTGTGGGAGATGACAAGTTCCTGGTGGTTGCCAACTCCTATGATGGAAACTCATACTCTCTTAATAGTGTTATATACAGGTACGGCTCTCATATTGCACCAGGGTTATTGTAGTCAACTAAAAGCATAAAAAAATTGTATTAGGCTACTTGAAATAAAATAAACGTTAACTGAAATAGAATATTAAAAAACTTAAACTTATTTACTCATTCTCATTTTTGTTTAGTTTAACTTGACTAAAATAACTAATAAAATAAAATAATACAAAATAAAATAATAAAAATACAATATACAAATACAACAAAATACACATATTAAACAACAAAATTATCAAAACTTGAATTATTTAAACTGAAATGTAGGCAAAAAAATAAGAAATATCAAAATGAAATATTAACAAAAACTATAATAGTACAGAAATGTTGTGTTTTGCACACATTTCAAATCAATGGAATAGTTTTCTATAGATATACAGTATTTCTCATGTCTGTGTGTGAAGTATTTGCTGAGTTTTGGTTCTGAAGTCGATAGAGTCAGCAAAAGTCCATTTTGAGAAAAATCTAGTTTTCTGAAGGTTCCAAAACAAAATCATCTAGCGTCCATACCTTAAAATCTGTGTGAATCTTCACTTGCCTCACGATTCGATTACGATCCAGAGGGTAACGATTAGACTATAAAACGATTCTCGATGCATCTGTTCCTCCAAATCTTTTCTTAATAATAATGATCCAAATATGAAAATTCTGTCATTATTTCTCAGCTTCATGTCATTTTCCCTTTCATTCATCCATGTAACACAACTGGGGGTTTTCAACTGGGGGTCTGTACGATACTGCTCCATTACGACACTACCAAGGGTAATATAGATGTTTCTTCAAAGACATTCAAGTATTCTATATTTAACAACGTAATTCTAAAAGAGTTCAATTTGTCCTATAGCTTTATTCAAAATGTATGGTCAAAATAACCTCTTATGTCATCTCTCTGTCAGGCATGGCAAAAGATGTACAGGCAAAGGTTTCTTTGAAAACAGGCTTCCTAAACACAGACAGTCCCACACCTGATTGCAGTTCTGTATGATGCTGCTAGTAGTGTTGAAATGACACTGTAACTTGAGGAGTAACCTGATGATCTGACAATGCAATGCATTCTTGCCAAATGTTTTAATAACGTTGTAAATGGGTGTTTTGCAGGTGGCAGGGTTATGAGGGGTTTATCCCGGTGCACAGACTGAGCACCAATGGCTGCAGAGATTGGGAATATTTTAACACAACCGATGGCTCCTACCTCATCTACTCCAGTGCCAGAGCTGCTCTTTCTAAAGTCCTTAAATTAAGGACCATCTAGCGGCACTGGACATATGGACTGTATCTGCTGGGAGACTAGCTGACCGAAACAGCAACTCAAAGCATGAACACAAATAAACCCCTAAATCAGATGTTCTTCAATGAAAATGTAATCCCAAACTTAAATCAATTTATCACATGATGACACTTTAACACATGCACTTAATGACATACCTTGAAACCAGCTGAAGGATGAATCTCACCACTAGCATTCAAAACAGTCCACTGACCTCCTGAACGATAACAGCACATAGACAATCACAACGAGATGTTCCTAACACATGTCAAATCATGCACTTCAGAAGACTTAAACCTGCACTTTTGTTGCACACAGATTATCAGTATGCTTTGTTGATTCAAATGTCATTATGTCCTGTGGTTATGCATTATTACTCTGCGCATGAAGACGGTTAACAATTTATGGATGACTGGAAAAATTGTTTATCAGCCAGCAAAGCCACTGTATTTTAACTGTACTGTACTGTCTGAAAGCTAATGATTTAGATAGATAATGAGATATTTCTGATTTCTGAAGATAATGATTTTTATTAGAAGCCCTTTAAATTGAAGTGTTCAAGCATATGCAATAAATATATAAACAATTAAAACAATATTTATAATATATAAATAGTAATAAAAAATGACAATGAGGATTTCAATAATACACTGACTATTTTCTTTTTATATTATAACTATAACTTATTTTAAACTTGATTGTGTTGTAAAACAATGTTTCACAACACTTCTCTCTCATAATTATAAATGGGGGTGCGTATTACTGCTATAGAAGTCACTACTGATTAAATTAAACATTTTACATTTTTAAATTTTAGTATGTTTATTAAGCTTTTGAGTTTGTCAAGAAATGCAGGCCACATATTCATCCAGTCTTGGGAACAAAGGCTCAAAGGAAAATAATTATCTTGTGCTAATACACACACAGTGATGCATTTTTAGTGAAGATCACACTCTACATGTGCTTATTTGTTTGTTGTGTTATTGGATATTATAAAACGACACTCTTTAGAAGTTCATGATTCATGATGTTAAGGAGATGGCAGAAACTACTCCTGTCGCTCATTAAAATGAATTACACAAAAATGCAATTTTGTGTCTTAGCCATCTACTTGAAACTCTGGTATGACTTTTGTTCTAGTTAAATGACATTTAGCAGCTACTTTAGAGTCTAAAAAGTGGCTACATTTAAAAAAATCATCATGCAATAGCCTATTCTTATTCTCACGGCATTATTTATATTATCAATATACAAATGCACATGGGCTTTTCTACTCGCCAAATGTAGCAACGTGGAATATTCTACAATTATTTTCCACTTTAATGTAATTTAATAAAAAAATTATTTATAGAAAAACACTAAGAATACGTGTGTGTGAATTTGGTTATGTAGAATAATAATAACAAAAAGATACGCTTTTTGTTTTTATTAGTAATATCCACATCTGTTTGGTTTCACCACTGCTTTTTTTTCTAAAATAGGAGTCGAGTAAAAAAATGACATGTGCAAGTTTACTGTTGCGTATAAAACAAAACAAACACTAAGGCAGCAGAATGGTTATTTGTAAGTGTAGCAATTAAATAAGTATTTGAGTATACCTCTGCTCCAAACAAAGTCAAGTGAAGAAAACCGCGGGAAATACAAACACAAAAATGCAATTTTGTGTCTTAGCCATCTACTTGAAACTCTGGTATGACTTTTGTTCTAGTTAAATGACATTTAGCAGCTACTTTAGAGTCTAAAAAGTGGCTACATTTAAAAAAATCATCATGCAACAGCCTATTCTTATTCTCACGGCATTATTTATATTATCAATATACAAATGCACATGGGCTTTTCTACTCGCCAAATGTAGCAACGTGGAATATTCTACAATTATTTTCCACTTTAATGTAATTTAATAAAAAAAATTATTTATAGAAAAACACTAAGAATACGTGTGTGTGAATTTGGTTATGTAGAATAATAATAACAAAAAGATACGCTTTTTGTTTTTATTAGTAATATCCACATCTGTTTGGTTTCACCACTGCTTTTTTTTTCTAAAATAGGAGTCGAGTAAAAAAATGACATGTGCAAGTTTACTGTTGCGTATAAAACAAAACAAACACTAAGGCAGCAGAATGGTTATTTGTAAGTGTAGCAATTAAATAAGTATTTGAGTATACCTCTGCTCCAAACAAAGTCAAGTGAAGAAAACCGCGGGAAATACAATTCAACTCACTGCCATGCAGCAGTTTTCCATTCATATATTTTCTAGTGTACTGAACGCGGGAAAAATTACTATCAGTGCCGTCCAATCGATGTCTTGCACAGATATCCTCTATTATATTTCGGCCAATCAGCTCCTTGCTTACTTACTGAGTAGTAAAGAGTCTTTCTTATGAAGAACAGCCACTCCGCATTGGATGCCAGCAGAGCCGTTGACAGTCGGATCGGATTTGTTCTGGGGATTTTTTTTAACCTCTGCTCTATGTAAAATGAATTGAATAAAAGTCTGTTTGTGTAAGACACATGTTTATTACAGATGTATGCTTTGAGAAGCTTTTACCTGTGTGTAGTATTTCCGACGCCCTCTTGCGGCCGTTTCTTGGCCGCGCGAGTGGGAGTGCTGGTTTCTAAAGCCTCTACGACACGCCCGAGGAAGGCGTTCATTACCAGACGGTCGATCTGGTTGTGCGTCTGGGCGTTCTGTTTGTGTTTCACTATCTGTGCTTTCTCTCACAGCGTTACCATTGCAGCGCAATACATACTAAACAACAATGAGTGACGCTGAGAAGGAATTCGTGGAGCGGGTATGTAGTATTTTTACAGTCTTTTCTTTTTGCACGCGCCCTTCCATGTTTCTTCTAGAAATGGCCTCCATGTTGTATGCTAGCCAGCAGGAGCGAGTCAGACAGGCTTCATTCATTGTGTAAAATCGGATTACTTAGTATTGTGCTAATGCAATGATGGACTCTATGCCTTTACTTTTATAATTTCTGAAAATGTCATAAAATTAAATAACTTGATATGGATTTGTGTCGAAATCAAGCAACCAGTTAGCCAACTTCAGTGCTAGCAGACAGACTACGTGCTTCAGATCAGAAAGACCTTTATTTGCCTTTCAGTTTCTGCTTTTTCACTAGTAAACTAAATATTTAACTGTCTCTACTAAGTGTTGTTTTTTTCCTTGCATGTTTTATTAAATCGATATAACCTGTCTGAGTATTTCTTGCTGCTAATACATGAGAGAAGGTCATCCTGAGCCTCAAAGCTATTCATGTATGCACAAAATGCAAATTAGTTTCAAAATCACGTGCACTTTTAATATTACAACGACATTACTCTTTTATTAGTTTAATAACATAACAGTAGACTTGATGTGTGTATGCATATCAGGATCGTCCTTTAACATCCTTCTGGTTGGCTTAAATTACTGTAAATATGTAAGTATTTGTTTGTAATTGCTTTTGCGTGCATGCATAAGGCTCAGGATGCACCTGAAAGTATCTTATTGTTCTTCATGATGGATATTTCAGCTCACTTTTCATTTCTGTTGGTTCATCTATAATGTTTTTCCCACACTGATAAAACGATAGGATTATTGGTTGTGATGTCCAGTGTTTATACATTCTTCATCCTTTTCTTTTTTGTTAAGGTTAAGGTTGGAAGAAGAGAAATCTGGACGAAGTCAAATGTCAAGTTGTTAATGCGAATAATTTGAAGCTGAATTTTCAGTGCATGCTAATTTTTGGAGCAAAAGAAGTTCCCATATAGCATTTATGGGCAGTGAGAGAAATGGGGGAAGAGGAATGAAGTCAGAAATGAAATTGAAACTGAAGAAAGAAGAAAAGATGTGTTATGAAGTTAAGATCAGAAGTTATCTGGGATAAGATCGCAGCGCTAAGTAACTCTTAGTATGTTTGTACCATGCGTGCATGCATAAATATTCTGTTGTCCATTTGTATTGCAATAGTTACTATTGTCCTGTAGCATGACAGATTTACAGCTAGTTATTTTCATATAATCTGATGCATTACATGTCAAAAAACTGCAAATTCCTATGTTGTAAGTGCTTCAAAGTAAATTTACACTATTAACACTAGTTCATGAACTTGCAGGGAAAAGGCCATCATCACTGCATATTATCCTAGTCTAGAATGGTCTCAAACTCACTTATATGCACACAATAATTAGTTCTCAGTATTCAGCAAATATTCTCAGTATGACCATGTTTTCTGGCTCAAACATGATTTGGATGTGGTTGGTTTAGGAGTCCCGTTCAACCTCTAGGAGCCCAAGTCCTAGAGGATCTGCTAAGTCAGCCAGTCGCTCGCCGGAACGCTCACCTGCTCGGTCGAAAAAGGGATCCCACCACTCTCGCTCGAAGTCCCGTTCTCGCTCCAGGTCCAAGACTAGGTGAATATTTCTAGTCTTTTTGAGATCAAACAACCTGCATGGGAAAGCAAGGGTCTTCATCCTTGTTCTTAACTAATAATAAACTTGTATAGAACCTTGACACAAAGTGATTTACAATATAAAAAAACTACTACAGGAAAGCAAGTAAAAATACTAGTAAAATTTATATTATTGTAAAACTGTATTATTGAGTTTCTTTGTGTGTCTTAAAAAGCCTTAATTCACCCTTCCACAATTTAAAGCATTACAAAGGGTCTTAAATCAGAGCAGAACATTTTAAATTGATAAATGTAAAGCATTAAATGTTGCATGCATTGCAAAAAAACAACTATACCTTTTACTATACATTTTCTTGGGACATAAAATCATTTACTTGGAAGTGTAAAATGAAGTCTTGAAAAATTCAATAACATTGGGTATATTTAAAACAAGAATAAATAAAGGCGTATGAATAACAAAGGCATATGAAAACTTGTTCCCTTTCAAGTAGATTTTTATGAGTCAATTGGCAGATATCTACTTGTTTTAATAAAAATTTTACTTAATTTTGATCCGCTTTACCGTAAACGAGACTGAAATGGATT